GCGCCCAGAAAGGACGGGTCCGAGGGCGCAGACCTCGGCGCGCAGGCTGCCCGCGCGAGGGGTCGGGCGTCGGCGCCCCACGCCTCCGCTGTGGTCCGCCGCGCCGGCGGCCCGCGCAGGCCGCGGCGTGGGGTCGCCTGTGGTGTTCCGCTTCGGGAGGGGGGGAAAAGACACACAGATCACCAGCTTGAGACATGTCCCTGTCCCTATGTTTGGCATCACCTCACCTCGATGCCGATCTCAAGGATTCCCTCAGTTTCGGAGGGCCTGTCCCTGAGCTTGTCCTCGCGTTTTGCTCGCCCATCTTGGGGATAGGGATAAGTTCGAGGCTGGTTAACAGACACAGTTAATCGTCGATCCCCAGGAAGATATGAAAAATGTGGGAAGTGGGGGGGAAGACGAAAACTCATAAAATTTGGAAAAGTAAGGGGAATCCTGTCATTTGTGTGTATGTATGTGTGTGTCCCAGGGCCCCTCCGATGATGCTCCAACCGACTTTGGCCTTGATCACCGGAGATATCTGGACGTCCGACATGGGTACGGAAAGAATGGGTACAATGCCCAACTGCAGTTCCTGCTCCTTTTGAACAGGACTCGTTGTCCTTGCCTCCGCGGCCCGTGTCCATTCGAGACAGGAGGCCGCCTGCCCAACAGCGGCCGCTGTTAGTTTGGGACAGCATTCGTTGTTGGGCATTGTACCCATTCTTTCCGTGCCCATTTCGGGCGTCCAAAAAATAATTTCGAGCGCCAAACAGAGTACCGAAATTCAAGGGTTTTCACGTGTCGGGCCCTGGGAGACACTCGCCCGACACTGTTCCGACACTGCTTCGGCACTCTTGTGACACGTTTCCGGGTGCTCGAAATTTCTTCTGGGATGCGGTCCTCAAGTAGGATGGGAACCAGATAATTGTAGTACCATCTCGCGCAAGACCCCTTTCTTTTGGTCGCGCACTTGTTGCCGAGCAGAACTGTTTGCGGTCGTTTGCGGCGCCGCTGTGCCTTCGAGGATGCCGCTCGGTCTGTGCTCGTCCAGGGGGCGTCGGATCCCTCTCGGCGAAGGGCCACGCTCCAGGGGAGACAAGGGGTACCGATGCCGCTCGTCGCCCTGGAGAGCTCCCGTCGCCACTGCGGCATTCTCCTCGGAATCCTGGTCAGAGCGCGCCCAAGGAGAGGTCTGGGCTTACATCGGGCCTGTCCCTCTACAGGAGGGATGTTCAAAAATAGTAAACAAATGATCTGGGGACTATTTTTTGAGTATTTTTTGGCCCTTTCGTTTTTTTGTAAGTATGTTCAATGTTTCGTCGAAAATCCCTCAGTAGGGGGACGCGCCCGACTTAAGTCTGGGGAGCTGCGGTATCGGTAAACTTTGTGCCCCCCCCCCCACAGGCATCAAGCACTTGCAAGAGACAGAAGCACAGCTTTTTGGAGGTCCGCGCGGATCTCTTGGACCCCCCTTCCCTTGGCGCACGAAGGTCGCCAGGGGAAGTGCCGGAGGTGCCGCAAGCGGCTGGGGTCCAGCGAGTGCCGAAGAAATCTGCTCGGACCGGAAATTTATGCCTATACAGTCGGGTCTGGTTGGTAGGCCGACCCAGAATGGAGGGTACCTTTGTGTCCTGTCGATCGCCATTCATGTCCTCTTCATGTCTCGAGCACGGGCCACCCTAGGAAGACCCGTGTGTCATCTCGGGTGCCCTCTGCAATCCGTCTTGGTCGTATCGGTTCTGATGGCCCCGAGCAAGAATCGGTTGCGTCAGCCTCCCCCGCCACAGCGTCCAGGGGCGACCGCGGTTGGCTCGCTTCGGCCGTCTGCGGTGCTGTTGCTGCGTCCCCGCGCCCCTCTGGGCTGCCTGCGGCCTGTCGGACTCGGCCGGTCTTCTTGGCATCGCTCGGACGTGTGCTTTTTTCTTTCGGCGAGGACCATCGAGGAGAATCCTTGATCATGCGGCGGAAAAAAGCACGCACGAAACCGAAAAAAACACAGGGAATGGACGTCCGAGCGATGGCGAGTCTTGGCCTCGCTGCGGGCTCGGCTGGCTCTCCGGTGGTGTCGTCGCCGCGGGCGGGCGTGGGCGCTCCTGCCAGGTGAAGTGGGACCACGACGGCTCCGAGGCGGACGTGCCTCGGGACGAGGCCACTCGGGCCGCATGGGCGGCGGACGTGGCTACCTTTGCGCCCTCGCGACCTCCTCCTCCTCCTCCTCCATCTCAGCAACCCTCGCCCCGTGACGCTAGCCTGCCCGCGCCAGTGTATGGTTTGATATCTACTCCAGGAATGCTGGCGCTCCAGGGGCAGATTTTGGCCCGAGAGACGGCGGCCGCAGCAGCTGCACCTTAGTCTCAGGCAAGCCATCCTGTTTGGCTCGGTTCAGTTCAAATCGTTCAGGCCTACGGGATCGCTGACGAAAAAATGCCGTCATACCTCCACTCCTAGTCCCTGATTTGTCCTTCCTCCTTCTGCCCCCCCCTCTCGATCGTATTCCCTCTGCTCTTTTTCTCGCCTTGCTACCCCGTATAGTCAACCCGCATAGTAAGCATGAACGATTTTCCGAGGTTGCGCATCCTTCCCCTCGCGCCCGTCCCTTGGCCGCTTTCGCTGGCCGCGCCCCGCCCGCAAAGTGTCGACGTGGCCTTCCATGGACCACGCATCCTCACCGCGCGTCCTTCTCACACGGGCCGACTGCCCCCGCCCCAGCCCAGGTCCGCTGCAAGGAGGAGGAGAAGCCGGCGGTGCCCAGCGTCGGAGACAAGGTCAAGCAGTGACGAAGCGTCTTGGCTCGCCCATAGCCCTACCAACGAATGTTCGAAGAACCTTTCGAGGTTTCCGCGAAATGTTCTTAGAGCACTTCTGGCGGAGTGTGTCTTGTTTTAACACACCAGGTTTATGCTTTAAGAACATTGCTTCTGTTATTAGAACATTTCTGGGTTCTAAGAACATGTTGTGGTAGGGTTATAGGAATGCCGGTGCGGTCGGTCCCTGCTCAACAAGGCCGAGGCCAAGTTTGGCAACAGCTTCTTCGAGGTCACCGTGATGGAGGGCCCGGGGGGGCGGGAGAGGCCGATGGCGGCGGAGGCCAGGGCTCAGCACGGACGACGTGGGCGCGGCAGGCGCGCGGGGCGAAGGCCAGCAGCAGGTCTCGTCCAGTCGGAGCGGGGCTCGCCGTCGGCGTCGCTGCGGGCGTCGTCGAAGCGGCGCGCGGGGTCGCTTGCCTGGCAGCGGCCGCCGTCAGCGTTTCTGGGCAGCACCTGCTGCCGGGCACCGTGCCCGTGTTTTCTCCGTGCCCGCGTCGGGCGCGCCAGGATGCAGAGGGCGATGGGGGTGGTGGGAGGGGTTCTTCATCCTCCTCCTCCTCCTCCTCCTCCTCCTTTTCCTTCTCCTCCTCCTCCTCCTCCTCCTCCTCCTCCTCCTCCTCATGATCATTATCCTCCTCCTTCTCCTCCTTCTCCTCCTCCTCCTCCTGCTCCTCCTCCTCCTCCTGCTCCTCCTCCTCCTCCTCCTCCTCCTTCCTCCTCCTCCTCCTCCCCCCGCTCCCCCCGCTCCTCCGGGGTGCCGTTGCATCTCCGGGGGCCTTGCCTGTCCCGCAGCTGCGGTCCTCCTTGGTGCCCAGCGCGGCGCGGCGACGCGGGCTCCACTCGGCTTCGCCGCGCGCGCATTTGTGATTCGACGCGGACAGCGGCACGACGGGGCGGGCAAGGTCCCCCGAACATGCAACCCGAGGGACGGGGATGAGGAGCAGGGCGGGTGAGGCGAGGGGCGACGAGGGGGCGGGGGAGGATGGAGGAGGCGAGGGGCGAGGAGCGCGAAGGGGAGCGGAAGCGCGGGGCGAGAGCGAGCACCGAGGGCGCACGCGAGGAGCGAGGGCGACGAGGCGTGGGAGCGCCTCCTCCCTCCCGTCGTCCTCGTCGGTCGATCTTCCTCTCCCCCCGCCGCCCATCCCGCCGACAAGGGAACGACCCGACCATGCGAAGCTCGCCCAGTGGGAACTCGACCAGCTGACCTCGGCCCGGCCGAACTCGTCCCGCCAGAAGGCAGCGGTGCCGGGCCCAGCTCGGTCGAGCTCGGCCAGCCGAGTTTTCCGCTTGGCCGAGCCTTTGTCTGGCCGTCCCCTCCTCCCCCCGCGCGGCCGCCCACGTCTTCCTCCTCTTCCTCCTCCTCCTCCTCCTCCTCCTCCTCCTCCTCCTCCTCCTCCTCCTCCTCCTCCCCGAATGGGGCCCAGACTGGGGCCCCGAAGGCGCACGAGGGGTGCACGCCCACTGCCCTTCCCTGGCCCTGGAGAGCGGGTCGGGGCTCCTGGGGACTCTTCGCTTAGCGCAGGGAGGGGGGGCTGTCCAGGGAAGCTCCCTCCTGCACGCCGGACACTTAGCCTTCCCGTTTCCCCGAACAGCCATGCGCTGCAGCGGGCTGCCTCTGCGTCGCCGCCGACGAAAACAAGTCGTTTTGTCTGGCCGAGCTTTTGCCTGGCCGAGGAAAGTTGCTGCCTCTGCGTCGCCGCCGACGAAAGCAAGTCGTTTTGTCTGGCCGAGCTTCTGCCTGGCCGAGGAAAGTTGCTGCCCCACCTCTTCTTCCTCCCCCCGCCTCCCTGCCCTCCCTCCGTCCCCCGCCCCCCCCCCCTCGGGGGCGCGCCGACCCGCGGCCCCTGGCGCTGCCCCTGTTGTGTGCGCCGCCTCCTCGAGAGGGGGCCTCCTTGGGGCCTCGCCTCGTTGGGCCCGAAGCGGAACATCGGGGGGGGGGGGGGGCTCCTTGGGGCCCTTGGGGTCCTCCTGGAACATTCGGGAAGCTTGTCGGGGTTTGGGCCCGAATCGGAACATCGGGGGGGGGCTCCTTGGGGCCCTTGGGGTCCTCCTGGAACATCCGGGGAGCCTCTCCGGGGCCTGCCGTCGGCGTTGGAGCTCGTCTTGGGGCGGAGTGCTCGGACAGTCGGTCTGCGTTCCCTCCCTAGGGTCCTCCCTGGGACCCTCTGAGGGGAGGGGGCGGCGGAGGAGATCGGCGACGACACCATCAAGGTGAAGTGGGACCACGACGGCTCCGAGGCCGACGTGCCCAAGGCCGAGGTGCGCTGCAAGCCCGCCGCGGACCCAGAGCCCGGCATCGACATAGGCCCGCCCTTGTCCCAGCGCGCGCGCTGGTGAGGAACGGTAGGCCCGAGGTGCTCGGTCAGCGCCGCGAAGGCAACCGATAGAATGAGATGGGAGTCGGTCGCGGCCAAGAGGGGGGTTGATGACTAGGTGTGTGTGTGTGTGTGTGTGGATATCATCTGGGGTCATGCTATCCCCCCAGATTTCATGGCTCACTCTCCTTACTTCAATGTGTTTCTTGGTCCCCCCTGGGCCGAGCACACGCCTTGAGCCCTCTACAGGATGCCCCCCGAGATGGGAGATAAGACGAGCTAGGGTGTCCGCAGCTCGGTCGGCTCTGTTGCCTCGCGGCCGGCTGCGCTCTGTCGGTTCGGCTCGGTCGGTTATTGCGCCGGCTGCGTCCTTCGAGACTACAGTCGGGGCGCTGAAGAAGGGACCCTTTCATTAGGGAGGGGCTCAGTGTTCCGTAGTTGTTTTTACAGTTTGCCTTTGGTTGTGCTCAGGTTCTCGGTGGAAGTTCGAAATCTCACGTATGGAAAAAAGGGGCCTCGTTTCTCATGTAGGCTCCTTGGGTCAACGCCCCGGCTGTAGGCTGCTCGCGGCCCGTCGGGTTCGGTCGATCTCGGCGTCGCCATGGCTCGGTCTGCTGTCGGCGGGGCTGTCGCCGTGGCGGGCCTCGGGGGAGGCGTGCCCCGCGGGGCCCAGGGTCTCTGGCCTCGGCACAGCACGCGACCCGAGGAGCGGCAGGTCTCAGGCAGTGGCGAGGCGTCCGGGCTCGCCTGTAGCCCTACCAAGCAATGTTCTAAGAGCCCTGTTGTGGTTCCCACGACGTGTTCTCAGAACATTTCTGGCGGAGTCTGTCTCGTTTTATCACATCGGGCTTCTATTCTAAGGACATGGGTTTTGTTATTGGAACATGTTTGGCTTCTAAGAACAAGTCGTGGTAGGGCTACAGGAATGCCAGGACGGTCGGTCCCTGCTCAAATGTAGTGTTCCGCGGTGGGGGGGCGCCCGATTGGAAAGTTCACGCGTGCTCTCCACGATCCCCCACGGCGCAGCCGAGGGTATGAGGTTCCCATCGCCCCCTCTCACCGAGCGCGTTCCATTTCTCGCAACTTGCCGACTCGCAAACGTCCGACCCAAAGCATGTGTTCGCCTAGATGTAAATATGCTTGAAATCCCCCAACGGCTGATCCGGGCCATTTGCGTTCAGCTACTTTGCGCGTGGTGGAGCGCGCTTGTCCAGATCCTCTGCCCATCCTCGCACGGAGCCCACCCCGTGCAGTCAACGCGCATAGTAGGGACGCGCGCCTTTTCTAGGGTACCCTTGTGTCCTTGCCTCTACGGCCCGTCCTTTGCCGTTTCCCCTGGCCAGCCTCTCAGGCCGCCGCCCAACAAATCCCAACCTCGGCCTCCAAGGGTCTCGCGTCCTTACCACCCGTCCTTACTATTCTCGGGGGAGCGTAAGACCCGGGTTTGCCAGGACTCGGGTTCGCCATCGTTTTTTGACGACCGCGACTCGGATTTTGACGAGGAGGAGTTTTGTGGGATGTCTGCAGCGGGAGGCCTCGTCAAAATGCAGGCTCGGCCTCGTCATTTTTTTGACGACCTCGTCGGGGATTTCCGAGTCCCCCGTACCCAGGTCTTACGTCTCCCCGATGTTCCTTTTCCATGTACGTGCAAGACGCTGATGGGGACCACCCTGGGCTCGGGCGGGGCTCTGGTGTTCACCGCCCCTTCGGCCCAGGCCTCGGAGTCGGGGAGGACCTTCGTGGCCAAGGCCTGCCGCGGTCAGGAAAAAAAAACATTTAAAAAACAAACAAAAAACATTCTTCAAGCAATGGCGAAGCGTCCTGGCTCGCCTATAGCCCTACCAAGCATTGTTCTAAGAACCTTTTGTGGTGTCCACGACATGTTCTTGGAACACGTCTGGCCAGGACTGTCTTGTTGTAACACATCGGGCTTATGTTCTAAGAACATTGTGTTTGTTCTTCGAACATCTTTGGGTTCTAAGAAAATTTCGTGGTATGACTATAGGAATGCCGGGACGGTCGGTCCCTGCTCAATTCGTGGCCAAGGCCTGCCGCGCTCAGAAAAAAAGCCCATCCATTTTTTGGGGCGGGGATCGCGGCAGCACGCCGACTGCAACGTGATCCACCCCTCCCGCCCCGGAGGCCACGAGAGAAGGAGCCTCTGAGGGAGAGAGGCCCTGGACCCCCTCGAGTAGGGGATCGACCACAGGATTGAGTTACCCCAAAATCGATCTCCCCGTCGAGTCGACGAAAAAAACCATGACACGTTGCTCCGTAGATCTTCGGAGCAGTCTACGTATTCCTCGCCGATCCGACGGGAAGTCAAGTTTGGGAGTCATCAGTTCTAGACGAAGGCGAAGGGGGAGGAGGAGGAGGAGGAGGAGGAGGAGGAGGAGGAGGAGGAGGAAAGGGAGGAGGCGAAGTCAACTTTGGGAGCCATCAGTTCTGCAGTCGACTCCCTGCTCGACCCCCGGGGGGCTTCCCCCCGGGGCCGGCTGTCCGCTCCGGGATGCTCCTCGGCGGCCCCGTGCCCCGTGGACGGGGCCCAGAAGGAGGACGAGGGCGAGCACGAGGAGGAGGACGAGGAGGGCGAGGAGGGCGAGGAGGAGGAGGTGGAGGAGGGCGAGGAGGAGGACGGCGAGGACGACGAGGGCGAGCACGAGGAGGAGGAAAAGGAGGAGGAGGAGGACGAGGAGGCAAAGGAGGAGGAGGAGGAGGAGGAGGAGGAGGAGGAGGAGGAGTAGGAAAAGGAGGAAAAGGATGAGGAAAAGGAGGAAAAGGAGGAGGAGGAGGAGGAGGAGGAGGAGGAGGAGGAGGATCGAGGAGGAGGAGGGGCGAGAGCTCTCCTCCGGGGCCCCTCTCCTCCGGGGCCCTCGTCGCTCACGCCTGCCCGCGCCCTCTGCGCAGCCCGCCCACCCGCCGCTGGGTCCACCTCGATCCGATCCGGTCCGATTCGATGCCGACGTCGTCTGGACCGGCTCGAGCCCGATGCTCCTGCGATCCGCTCCCTGGGCGGCTCGAGGTCTGCATCGCGGTGTCGTTCAGTATCGTTTCACCGATCCCCATGCCCATCCCCACCTCCATCTCCACCCAGGCCCCCAACACCCCAGCACCCCAGTTGGAGATAATCGTACCCTTCGAGACCCGAAGGGAACGGCCTATGTCCCCATCTTCGGAGAAGCGCCAACAATACACCACCACCAGCCCTGGCCAGGTCCACCTTGGGCCCTGGACTGGTGCATAATCAGACCTCGGGCTTGGGCAACGGAGGGCCTGCACACCAGTCCGGGGCCCAGCATGGGCCTGGCCGGGGCTGGTGGCGGCGGTGTATTGTTTGGAGCTCTTCCACATCTAGGGGGGTCAAATTCGGCACGTGGGTCGGGCCGGACGAAAGGGGGGGATTGGGAAAGGGGGGGTTACGAAATTTGCTGCATGAAGCTGGTTTCGGCCTCACCGAGGGGCTCATTCCTCGATACATAGCCGCCTCTGGCGCCGGGAGGCGCTGGGAAAATCAGCTACGCGAGCTGATTCTCAAACTCCCCCTTTCCTATCCCCCCCTTTCGCCCGACGCGAGTGGGGTCCAGGCCACGCTGCTGGGGATGGGGCTCGGATGAGAACGATGCTCCGGCGTGCCCCCCGGGCGCGGCCGACCCCGTGCCGCGCCGCCGCGGCGCCCGAGCCCGCGCCCGCGCCCGCTCCGAGCTCCGAGCGCCCTTAGGCGGCGCTGACCGGTGCAGCCCACGCTCACGGAGCGACCTCGGAGTGGGCCCCGCTCCCAGCTGCGGTGTCGTCCAGGATCGTTCCGCCGATCCCCATGCCCATCCCCACCTCCCTCCTCCCTCCAGACGCCCAACACCTCCGCACCCCAGTTGGGGACAGTTTTACCCCTCGAGACCCGAAGGGAACGGCCTACATCCCCATCTAGGAGGAGGCGGAGGAGGAGGAGGAGGAGGAGGAGGAGGAGGAGGCGGAGGAAAGGGAGGAGGAGGAGGAGGAGGAGGAGGAGGAGGAGGAAAACGGAGGAGGAAAGGGAGGAGGAAGGGGGAGGAGGGAGGAGGAGGAGGAGGAGGAAGAGGAGGAAGGAGGAGGAGACAGGAACGGCCTATATCCCCATCTCGGGGGGGGGGGGGGGGGGGCAAGGCGGCACGTGGGGCCCAGGCCACGCCGCCGGGGAGGGGGCTCGGCTGTAAAGACGGTGCTCCGTCGTGCCTCGGGGGCGCGGCCGCCCCCGCACCGCGCCGCTGCGGAGCCCGAGCCCGCGCCCGCTCCGCGCCGAGTTGCAGGAGGAAAAGAAACACACAGACACAATTCATCGTCGACTATCCAGGAAATATGGGAAAATATGGGAAGGGCGGGGGGAAGACAAACACCCAGAAAATATGGGAAAATGTGGGGAATCTGGTTATTTGTGTATAGTTATTTGTGTGTCCCAGGGGTCCCTTCAGAGTTCCCCGAGCGCCCGCGGCGGCGCTGACCGCTGCAGCCCCACGCTCACGGAGCGACCTCGGAGCGGGCCCGACGTCGTCTGGACCCGCTCAGGCCTGATGCTCCTGCGATCCGCTCGCGGCCCAAGGTCTGCATCGCGGTGTCGTTCGGTATCGTCTCACCGATCCCCATCCCATCCCCGTCTCCATCTCCATCCAGACCCCCAACATCTCGGAACGGAACGACCTCGGAGCGGGCCCCGTTCCCAGATGTCGGAAACTGGAGCATATACACTACCAGTGGCGGGCTGTCCTTCAATCCCAGGATTTTTTCGAGGGTCGAGGGCGACGTCGGGGTGGTGTGGCGTATACTCTTTCCCCGCTTTCCCAGGGAGACGACGACAAATGCATACACCAGGATCCCGTATACACCAGGATACACTTTCCAGTGCGAGTTTCAGTGCGGGTCGGGAAAAAGCGTCGGTGTATAGAGTTCGGCTCTTTAAGATGTGCTCGCGCCATGAACAAAAATCGGGACGGGAGGTTTTTGGTCGTTGGGGGCCTTTGGGGGCACGTCGATTCGCGAATTGGCCGTTTTCGGTCCGCGAGAGGGCGTCGCGGCCGTCATTTCTGCGGGGCCAGGTCCGTCGGTTTCGGTCCTAGGCCGTTTTCTGTAAAGGGAGGTTTACTAAAAGGGAGGTTTGTCCACCGCCGAATGTTCTCGCGCCATGAAAAAAATCGAGACAGGAGGTTTTTGATCTTGTGGGGCCTCTGGGGGCCCTCGCTGGGCCCATGGGGCCATCCAAGGACGTCTCCCGATGAAAAAGACCGGTCCTGGGGAGAGGGTCGGGAATTCTTGGCAAAACGGCAGGGTTTCGCATGTCTGGGCTCGGGTCTGACCAAAGGACCTGGTATCGCTCGGACGTGTGCACTTTTTCCCGGCGGGGATGATTCAGGAGCATCCTGGATCATCCTGCGAAAAAGCCGCACACGAAACCGGAAAAGAACACAGGGAAGGGACGTCCGAGCGATGGCCAGAGGAGGAGTGTGGAACCCTGACCTTCCAGAGCGCCAAACAATAGCACTCCAGACCTGTAGATCTATCTGGACCGCCTCAAACCTCGACAGGAATTCGGACGTCGACGTCCTGGTGCTATTTTTTAGCCCTCCGGGAAGGTCAGGGAAAAGGGGGGAGGAGGGAGGGGGAGGGGGAAATTTGCTGCGCGCAGCCGGTTTCGGCCCCGCAGGCGGGCGCCTCCCGGGACATTGCGGGCGCCTCCGCCGCCGGGGTGCGCCGAGGGAGCCGGCTGCGCGTGCCGAGCCGCACGAGCTTTTTTTCAGTCGGGCACGCTCTTCTGCACCGCAGGAGGGTTTTTTCCCAAAAATTGTCCAAGCATAGTCTGGGGCTTCGTGGGCCCTGGAAACGACAGGGCCGTTTTTGTTACCGGTTCCGTCTTGCCGTTTTTGTTGCCGGTTTCGACGCCGTTTTTTTGACCGGTGCCGTCGCCGTTGTTTGACCGGTCCCGGCTCCAGTTCCGATCCTGGAGCCGTTTTTTTGCCGTTTCCGGTCGCCGTTTTTTTACCGTTTCCATTTTCAATGGACATTTTTGTGGGAAACGGTGAAAAAACGGCCCTGCCGTTTCCGGGGACTAGAAAAGGTCTGGGGACGATTCTCCGACTGTTGCGGCTGACTTTTGCATATTTGTTGGCTGTATTTTGACTTTCGCACAGACTCCGCCTGCAGGAGGACACGTCCGACCTAGCACCAGTTCGTCTTTGAAAGTCGGCGGCGAGCGAGGGGGGGAAGTGAGAAGGAGAAGGCTTTCTCAGAAATCTCGGAAGTCCCCCGGACTTCTGAGAAGTTGTCTAAGCCCTCCCTGAAGACCACCAGAAAACTTCTCTCAGAAGGCGCGAGGGCTTCTGAGGAGCCCCGGCGCCTTCTGAGAAGGCCTTCTCTAGGGGAGCCAAAAGTGTTATAAATATAAAAACTCGGAGGCCCGCGCGGATTTCTCGGATCGGCGCTGGACCCGCCTCCCTGGCGCGTGGAGCGCGCCAGGGGCGGCGCCGGAGGCGCCGCCGGGGGGCCCCAGCGTCGATCCGAGAAATCCGCGCGGACCTCCGAGTTTTTATATTTATAACACTTGTTGTTCCCCTGTTCTCCTTCTCATCTCCCCCCCTCGCTCGCCGCCGAGAGAGCCCCGCCCAGGCCGCGGGTCCCGCTGCCCCCCCCCCCGTAGGCCAGGCAGGGCGGGCGGCCCCTCTCGCCCCGTGGGGTGGGTTCCGCGTCCCCTGCCCGGGGCGTGCAGGAGGCGATTTTGCGGTCTCCTGGGGGCGACGTCAGGGGAGCGCCCGCTGATGGGCCCGTCTTCCACCACCACCACCACAAGCTGGAGGGGGAGGAGTCCTCATCCTCCTCCTCCACCTCCTCCCCGTCGTCGTCCTCCTCCTCCTCCTCGTCCTCCGCCTCCTTCCCCCCTCCAACTGGTGGTGGTGGTGGTGGAGAACAAGCCCACCAGCCCGCCACCCAGACTCAGCACAAGCTTTGCTCAGGCTTGGCCGTTGCGTCTGCCGCCAGCGTGGGCACCGTTCGCTCGCCCGCCTCCTGGGGGAGCGTGGGGCCCGCCAGGCTGGGAGTGCGCCGCCTGGCTGCTGGAGAACGGCGGCAAGGTGAAGGCGAAGCTGGAGAGGCCTGGCCGGGAAGCCCGGGGAGGGGGGTCGATGACGTTTTCGTCGCCGAATCCGAAGGGGAGGCGCGGGGGGGAGAGGATTTCGTTTGCTCCGGGAGGCTTTCTTGCCATCGGGATGCTCCCGAGCAGCCTGCGCCTCGTCGAGAGCGTTCCAGGGGTGCCCAGATGGTCCCGAACGGCCGCCGGAGGCCCGTGTTATGACTCCCAAACCAGCTGGCGTCGAGGAGGGAAATGAGGACAAGAAGGGTGTGGATATCATGGCTGGGGCAGCGAAAACTTTCGGAGTCCAGGGTTACCTGTGCATCCTTGCATCTCGGCCCATCCCTCAGGCATGGGCCATGGGCTTCCGACTTCTGCTTCGACTTGCGCGTCCAAGGGTCCTGCAGACTTACCGCGGTTCCTTTACATCTGGTCGCACTACACCAATACCGTTGCTCGTCCTCAGGATCATTCGTCGCCACGACCAGACTCGCACCGGAATCTGGGCTATTACGATAACCGGCAGGGAGCATTTGTATAGTTTGCTCCCCTCAACGCACCCTGCACAATATATGGAATGTTTGCTGCCGCAGTTTACGTTCAAACGCGTGCGTCAGTGAGCGGAGGTTCGCTTAGGTATCTAATGTTGGCGTTGCACTGCACAAGCTGTGTAGTTGCAGTAGCAGTAGTTAGATTCGTATGTTTATGATTCGTATTTTTTGTCCCAACCCTCCTGCGTTGGGTACTCGTTTTGAATAGAGCACTGCGGTCTCCACCTTCCTTCCTTCCTTCCTTCCTTCCTTCCTTCCTTCCTTCCTTCCCGCCTCCTTCTCCTCCTCCTCCCGCCATCCCTGGGGGGCGGCGATCTGCGAGACTGTCGTCACTTTCGAGGGCTGCTGGGGGGCCCAGCGGAGTGACGCCCTACGGGGATTCAGATTAGACCTCGCCATCCCTGGGGGGCTGCGATCTGTGAAACTGTCGCCACTTTCGAGGCCTGCTGGGGGGCCCAGCGGAGTGACGCCCTACGGGGATTCAGATTAGACCTCGCCATCCCTGGGGGGCTGCGATCTGTGAAACTGTCGCCACTTTCGAGGCTGCTGGGGGGCCCAGCGGAGTGACGCCCTACGGGGATTCAGATTAGACCTCGCCATCCCTGGGGGGCTGCGATCTGTGAAACTGTCGCCACTTTCGAGGCTGCTGGGGGGCCCAGCGGAGTGACGCCACGGCGGATTCAAATTAGACCTCGCCATCCCTGGGGGGCTGCGATCTGTGAAACTGTCGCCACTTTCGAGGCTGCTGGGGGGCCCAGCGGAGTGACGCCCTACGGGGACTCAGATTAGACCTCGCCATCCCTGGGGGGCTGCGATCTGTGAAACTGTCGCCACTTTCGAGGGCTGCTGGGGGGCCCAGCGGAGTGACGCCCTACGGGGATTCAGATTAGACCTCGCCATTCCTGGGGGGCTGCGATCTGTGAAACTGTCGCCACTTTCGAGGGCTGCTGGGGGGCCCAGCGGAGTGACGCCCTACGGGGATTCAGATTAGACCTCGCCATCCCTGGGGGGCTGCGATCTGTGAAACTGTCGCCACTTTCGAAGGCTGCGTGGGGGGCCCAGCGGAGTGACGCCCTACGGGGATACAGATTGGACCTCGCCATCCCTGGGGGGCTGCGATCTGTGAAACTGTCGCCACTTTCGAAGGCTGCTGGGGGGCCAGCGGAGTGACGTCCTACGGGGACTCAGATTAGACCTCGCCAGCGCTGGGGGGCTACGATCTGTGAAACTGTCGCCACTTTCGAGGGCTGCTGTGGGGCCCATGAAACTGTCGCCACTTTCGAGACCTGCTGCGGGGTCCAGCATAGTGACGTCCTACGCGGACGCAGATTGGACCCGTCATTCTACTTCGATTATCCCGCATCTGCGATCGACTGTATGTGTGCGAGGAACTAGACATGGAGTGGTCTGGCACTGACTGACGTCAAATCGTTGTGTGCCAGTGTCTCCTGGGGTGTTGCCTGATGTGGATGCAGCTCGTCGGCGCTGCGACTCGAGCTGGCGGTCGTCCTTCGGACCCGCAGAAACATCTGCTGAGCTCGATGAGCTAGGGGAACTACAGGAAAGAAGTGCAGGAAACGGAGGCCGGTCATGCACTCGCCGATACCTCGTTGCTCTGTCATCGTCTTTGCTGTTGCATGATCCTTATCTGGCCTGCCGGCGCCGCGGCTCGAGCTGGCGGTCGCCCTTCGGGCCCGCGGGAACATCTTCTGAGACAAGTGGACGCCGCCGCCTTACTTGCAGGCAGCGCATTGCATTCGCGGACAGCAGCATGGCAGACCGCAGTGAGATCCTCAGTCGCGTGGTGTTGCCAAGCCTGGTGGAGACGCGCGTGATCGACCTGAAGTCCCAATCGCGCGTGCACTGTACCTGCGTGGCGTTCAGGCACGCGCGTGATGCTGCTCGCTCCGCGTTCAACCAGTACGTCGCCAGTGCAACTTTGGACGATGGACAACCGATTGATGATACGCGACCCCGGCCTTGAGTTTCTTTCCCGCGGGCCGCCCGCAGACCTGGCGGCGCGCCTGCGAGCGTTCAGCTCCCGCGCTGAAATGTGCGGGAAGGAGGCGGAGAAGCTAGCGGGCGAGCTACGCCTCGCTCGTTCCTTGCACTCTAAACAAGTTTTATCATGTGGAACTCTGCGACGACATGGCGCAGGCAGCGCTGCGGGTTTAGCTCGCGCTTGAAAAACGCGGCAGTCTTCTGTCTCCTCCCGCCACTTTCATCGTCGTCCTATTCCCCGCCTCACCTTCTCC